TACCTTTATTATTTTTACAAATAATAAGGCAGCAAAGATAGCCAACACACCTTCCTCCTCCTATTCTCCTCACAACAACTTTGTGAGGTGATTTGGACTGAGAGAGAGTGACAGGCCCAAGGTCACCAAGCTGGCTTTTATAATTAAGGCAGGACTTGAACTCATGGTCTCTTGCTTTCTAACCTGGTGTCTTAACCACAAAACCAAACTGACTTGCTAAATTTCAGTTAGCGCATTTTAGGGAACACTGCACTACAGAGAAAAACAGCTCAGGAATATGTAGACAGCTTGTTTAAACAATCTCTTTACCCGTGAGGCAGCAAAAAAGGTGGGGGGGAAATGGGTCAGGCACAGGATACTGAATACAGGAACAGAGACACCAGCAACCAATGATCTTTGCTCTCTCTTTCTCTCTCTCTCTCTCTCTGTCATATGTTCACTTAATGACCATTTTGCTTAACAAGCAAGTCATTGGAACAGAACATAGTTGCTAAACAAGAAGAGGGTGTACAAAACCTTGGTATCTTTTAAGTAAATTATTTCACATTAAAAGGGAATTTCTACACCGACAAATGTATTTATTCTCTTTATTGTAAAGACTTCTATTGCATCCTTTCTTTTATGGAGGTTAAGGACATCTACACAAAGCCTGATTACTTCAGAAATATTTTGAAAGTATTCCTGCCTGACCCCTAATTCTAGACCATTGCTAGCCTTTTTTAACCCAAATTATAGCACAGAAAAGTGCTATATGAGCATTATGAGCACCAATAGGTTCATCATATGCATTCACGTTGATAGGTTCTATATTAACATTCTTGGTTTTAATGAGACACAACATTCTTGAATTTCCTCTTGAACTTTTACTCCCAAGACGTCCTTTTCATTACAATGCAGAAATAACACTTCTCTAAAATTTCTGCAATATAAACTCAAGCTCTTTTTACTTTATGTAGTTTGAAATAAAACAATAGGCCAGTGAATAACAGCTAGATTGTACATACACATATCTATGTCTACGTTACATGTTGCTCCACTTGTCCAAGTGATACCTTTTACTGGAAGAGGATCTCTGAACCCAAATACAAGAAAGGAAAATGTGTGCCTGCTACTTATCACAGATATATAGTGTCAGAAGTTTATTGAGGCAAAGATCTTGGCATTGTGCATACTTGGTGAATCTACACAGTCAGACTGCAACATTTCTATCTTACCGCTATGGTAGTATCATTTTAAACTCTGGATAAAATGATGGCTTGGATTTGCTAGGAGGATAAAGCAGGAAAGTTTTAAATTAGGAACTACTATATAAAGAAAGCACAGTCATTCCTGCTAACTTGCATATTTGAAGATTACACTGGACAACTTCAACTATTGTTCAACATCTCAGCTATTGTTATGTTCCTTCTTCTATGTTCCATTTATTCTCTTTGGCAATTAAAGATTTATATTAAACAATTGGGAGAATATCTGAAACTTTGGAATGGGATGTCACTAGCACAATGATGACGCCCAGATCTATTACTTCTTGCTATTTCCTTAATCATTGCCTATATTTATTAATGACTAGATGAATTTGAATTAACTGGTATTACATCTAGATAAGACAAAGGTGCTATTGGTCAGTAGAAAAACAAATTGAGAGAATTGATATAGGTCTGTCATAAACTGTACTTCCCATAAATGAGCAAATTCATTGTATCAAAGTTCTCCTTGGTTGTCTACCATCTCTAAATCAAGTAGCAATTGAGGCAAGAATCATTTATGGAAATTTGTTTGTACTGTGTTGGCTGTGAATACTTCTGAACCAATTGGATTTAACACTATTTCTCACCTTCATCACAATTACCATAGTCTACATGGAGTTATACTGCAGAACTAAGTTGTTAACTACTGTACAACATCTGGTGTCTCTATGCCAGGGGTGTCAAACTGCCGGCCCACGGGCCGGTTTCATCATACCGGAGTCACGCCCACCCCATTGCCGGCAATGGCAAAAAAGCTCCGATACGTCACGCGACGTCATGTGACGTCGCAAGTTTGACATGTCTGCTCTATGCTATCCGTGCTAAAGACTTGCACTAGTTGCCAGTTGCTTTCCAGGCACAATCTAAGATCACTTAAACATCTAAAGTTCTATATGACTTAGGGCAGTGATGGTGAACCTTTTTGAGACCGAGTGCCCAAACTGCAACCCAAAGCCCACTTATTTATTGCAAAGTGCCAGGGCTGCATCAGCATTGTGGTGCCCTCGGGGGGGGGGGGGATGAGGAGAGTGTGGCCCACTGGGTGGGCGTGGTTGCAGTGATCATGGCAGACTGGGTGAGCATGGCTGGGGCCAGTCCCTTGCCATCTCAAGGGCATTCCCGGGGGACCAACACTGTTTGCTTGTTCACTTCCTGCCCTGTTGCTTCCAAACACCACGCGTTCGCTACTCTGGCGAACTCTGCTGGGGCAATGGCACGCATTCCCATAGAGAGGGCTCTGAGTGCCACTTCTGGCACGCATGCTATAGGTTTGCCACCACTGACGTAGGGCATATCTTGTCTGCTTCTTTCAAAATCCATAGATCTACAGAGTTGAACTTTGAAGAAATAAGATAGAAAGAATATTTGAACTTTGATGTGGGAGATGTGACAGCCTAGAAAACAATCAAATGAATTACTGAACAAATCAATCAGAGTTCTCACTTGAGCCACAAATGCCCTGGCTCAAATTTGGACACATTATGTGACGACTAAACTCTCTTGAAAAAACTCTCATGTTGGGAAAGGTGGAAGGAAAGAGAAGAAGAGGATGACGAAATACTAAGGTGGGTGCACTCAGTTCCAATGGAAAAGAGTGCACTGTTGGGAGACTTGAAAGAACAGGTTAGGAATAATAAGTCTTGGATAAAATCTATCAATGTGATCATTAGGAGTCAAAAAAAGACTTGCTGGCACATAATCTATCCAATATAATGATGCATAGCAGGAAATCCTGTGCAATAAACAAAGTGTTTTTTTTTCAGAGAGCAAGAGCATTACAGTGGAAAGCAAATGTCTCAGTTATGATATGATGAAGATTTCAAAGTGCCTTGGGAATACCAAAAAGAATATTTTTTTGCAATATTAGTCTGTACTTTTTGGTATTTATATTTTAAACTTAATGCTGAGGCCTGGAATAAGAGAAGTCCCTCAGACTGACGGCCAGCTAAAGGATTTTTATGAGAGAAATAAAATACTTAAGAGAAAAAGGCCTCTATGGAGGAATAAATAAAGAAGTAAACCTGAGGGGGGGGGGAGAAATCAGTATTTGGACATGTTTTCAGTGTGGGTGTAATGTAGTGAGTTGCACAGGATTTCTAACAATAGAAAAAGAACATTCATAATTCTTTTCTAGGGAAAAATATAGAACATCAGTTTAAGATTAATTTCATGTTAACTAGTGGTAGTTTTAGTTGATGGGAAGATTATTCCTAATGTAAAAGAACTCCAGAATAAATGACGAAACATAAACATAATTGCCTAATTCCACTAATCAAGTACAGTGGCAGAAGATTGCATTTTTTTCTTAATTAAGAATAATCATACTTCTGAATGGATTAATTTTAATAGTTTTATTAAAAGAAAGCAATAAAGCCTACGGAAAATGCAAAAACGAGAAACAAACTGTCATAGAAATAAAATGTCATAGAATTTTAAAAGTGGGGAAAGAATGCTTGAGTTATATCTGTAGATTCTGCATGGGATGTATAGTTGCTTACAAGAAAAAGATAACATTGCTCTCCTGTACTGGATAGGGATAGGAAATATTTATACACTATGAAAAAAAGAGAGGTCAAGGATAAATTATTTTATTTTTAAAATTTTTGAGAGGAACAGACTTTGAGTGAGATCTATATAGGTAGTCCTCGACTTGTCTTACGACTATAATTGAGCCCAAAATTTCTGTTGCTAAGTGAGACAGTTGTCCCATTTTACGACCTTTCTTGGAATTGTTGTTAAATGAATCACTGCAGTTGTTAAGTTACTAACATGGTTATTAAATGAATCTGGCTTCCCCACTGACTTTGCTTGTCAGAAAGTCGCAAAAGATAATTACATGACTCCCGGGACACTGCAACCATCATAAATAAGAACCAGTAACCAGCATATGAATTTTGATCACATGACCCTGGGGGGGATGCTGAATCTAATTCTGTACAGTTCTTTGTTCACATCTACTTTCACTGTAGTTGCTTCCAATGCCACCCTTCCTGACAAAATTACCTATAGAAACAGCCTGGAATTCTTCAGGCACATTATACAGTAGCTCAGTATAGACCAGGCATGTCAAACTCACGACATCACATGACATCATGCAACGTATTGGAGTTTTTTCGCCATTGCCAGCAATGGGGTGGGTGTGGCTCTGGTATGATGAAACCGGCCCGCCAGCCGGCAGTTTGACACCCCTGGTATAGACCCTAAAATTTGCATGCAAAATTGCTATTTTCTTTTCCCAGCTGTGGTATAAATACTGTATGTATCACAGATAAAGGCAGGAGGATTAAAATGTGGAGATATTTCTCTGGGTTCAATTCCCAGGAGTGTCTTATAATTATCCTTGGGAAAATCATTATTCATAGTGACTACTTACATGAATGTTTAAATGGATGCTTCAAAGTCAAAGCTATATCAGCTAAAGGTCTTCAAGAAAGAGGAGATTAAGGAAGAGAGCCCATCACCAGGACTCCAATACATAAAGAGTCATTTCATTTGATATATGATGGTGGCTTTTGGCCTTTTGGTAACTATATGAGATGTTGTAAGAGGCTAGAATGGGTTGAATGGATAGCAATATGAAGAAACAGAGGATTAAATATTTCAAAATCAGTTGTCATGCTCTAGAAAGATCTATCAAAAAGAGTCATGGCTACTAATCAATCAAATAATGAATAAATATTATTGAAGAGGTCATATAGTAGAAAAGCAGAGAACTGAATAATAAGAGATCAAAGCAATGAAATGGAGTCATACCATCACTGGATGCAGTCATCAGATATTGCAAGCAGTGGTACCTGAAGGCAGAAAAAGAGTAAACTGGTGGGAACCCATTCTTAAGATGACATGTTTTACTCCCTCCAAAAATCATCAAACATTTCATAAGATTCCATCAGGATCTGCAAAATGCATGAGCCGTCCTATGAATCCTCCAAATCCCACATGATTTCAGCAGTCTTATAGAAGATTTCACTGGGTTTTGCTTGCTAACAACATTTGCCATCTTTTAATATTTCAGCCACTTTCATAAAACTGGTCTATTGCGGTACCTCTGGTTGTCAGAGCAGATCTGACAATGGCTCTGGCATCCAGGAATGTTGTGTGGGTGACCCTGCCTTAAGCACTTTGAAATACTTTAGCTGGACAGGCAGCACACTCTGAGGATCTCTCTCTCTTCTTAAAGTTACCATAGAAAAATGGTTGCAGATGCTCTAATGCAATCTCTTGTCCTTAATGACTGTTATTCTACAGCTACTGCGGACCTAGACTCAGAATGCCAAGGCATTCAGGGTGCTCTGGTGAGCTAAAAGGCAGACAAGTGACAGACCTTAAGCTTGGGCAGCTGGTATGTCAACAGGGGCTGCCCTCATCTGAAGCAGCCTTAGAGAACAAAAATGGGTAGTAGGGGATCCTTGTTTTCTGCCTACGTTGCCAAAGAACAGCAGGAGACAAATGCATAACTAATGTATTGCCAATATTGTTCTAAATGTATTTCAAATGTTCTTCTCCCAGCACTGCTCCTACTCCGTAGAAAATTACCCTATCACAATTCGCAACTTTCCTATTTCTTATTTTACAAAGATGCGTCGAACTATTACCAAAGCTAGATATACTCGGTTTAGACAAGGAAGATATCCCAGCTGGAATCTCACTGGTCTTTGTAACAGATTTCTGTAGCTCTTGTCTTGTGTTCTGCATGGCATCTGATTAGTCTTGCTCTCTGTCTGTTCTGTAAGTGTGTTAGCTCAAAGAGGGGCTCCAACATTTCAAGATCATGCTATCAAAATAGATACATTTTAACATGTGTAAGAATGGGAAGGGGAAACTACTCCCAAGTCCAACCCAGCTGTAGGTGGTTGGAGAGATCTAAAGGCAGGGAAAAAGTGTTGAAGCTTCTGGAAAGCAAACCACTCCCATCCACATTCATAAACCTCTTCCCCACATCGTAAAATTGCTGTTTGGGGAGGGGGGTGTAGGATTTTAAAGTAGGGGGGGAGGAAATGGGAGGCTTCCTGTTCCAATTTCTTTCACTAAAGTTGCCCTCCTCGGAAATAAGGGATTTGTAATATATGTTGAATAGCAATAGAATTGTTGGAGGAGAAGATGGAATGGTATCTTTTCTGCTAAGGTTTTATATTTTCGTATCCACTAGCATTTATATATCACTGAGGCATTGCTATACATTTACTATTTTTTTAGGGACTTCCAGTGGAACTCTGTGTAGGCAGTACCTCTTTGTTCTGTGTTTAACATAATCCTGCAAGACTAATTCCTCACGAGCACCAGCTGTAAGTGCTCTGATTTCAAGCCCTTTCTCTCTGCCTATTCTACTTCTTCTTGTCTCTCTCTTATATAAAAGATGTTCTTTGCTCTCCAAGGAAGAATTATTTACACAGTTCTGGGTGCTTCATTGGGGAAAGGGAAAGAAAATTGGGGTGACATTTGAAGCAATCATGCTCAGACACATAACACACCATCTTTGACTTGCCTTTGAGGTGCTCCATCTCATCATCTCCTACAGCTGTATGAATAACTCACAGTTATTCTCCAATATTTATATCAGGAGTAGAAAATTATAAACCTTCACAATCTCTTTCTAGTTGCATTTTGGAGGCCACATTGCTTGTGCAAAATGACACTCATCTGGAGCTCCTCTCTGCATATTTATTTATTTTTTATGTGCTCTTCGGTGAAGAAAGGGCTGTACTTTAGAAATAGTCACATTGTTTTTTGCAAAATGGCTCAGGTGCAATCCTGACAGCCCTAGGTAGGATTGAGAAAGGTTCTTATCAGAAATCTTAGAGAGCTCTGTGTAAAAACAATTATGAGCTAAATAGAACAATGAACAGGCACTGTATAAGCAGCATAATGCAAGAAAGAGAAATACGGCCTAGTGCTGCTTGGCCCAACATAAACAACTCCTAAGTAAGGTTTACATAGTGCTATAATATATTACAGAGTAGGAGGAAATGGTTGGCAGTATCTTATAACTCTTCATTCTGCTGTTAAAATGTTTTCATAGACATCACCTTCTGTTGGTATAAATTTTTACCCATGATCATAAAGCAAGGTCTTGGAGAATTTAGGATGTTTAAATGTGGTTCTCATCTAACGTGTCTAATGCCAGGCTTTGTGGTCTTCCAGTAATGTCCTGGACTTTACTAGAAGAGAATGGGTGCAATCTTCACTGCCTGGATTTTACTAAAATCTAAAAATAGGCTATAATGAGGAGACCAATGAAAACTCCAGCACCAATATTCCATTCACAATTCTATTTATACTTATCAGCAGTAATATATTCACAGAGCATTCTAGACCCCAAGGCAAAGTTCTCCATTCAAATCTTCAGTATTATGTATCTATTAAGGAGCCAGCAGCTGCATTTCAGGAAACAGACCTATTCTGGTGCCCAGGTTTTCTCAACCAAGCCATCCTTGGGAATGAATAGCAGCAGGTCAAGGTATCCCCTCTAAGGTCCAACAGTGCCAGGAGAGCTACCAAATTTGGACTGCAAGAATCCAGTTGACCACTAGATGTCAGGAAGGTTTTAGTTTTCGGAATCTCTTTGCTACCATCTCATGGTTCTCCAAGTCAATGCATGCAGAGTCCTCACAGCCCATGTCTGGCCATTTGGCATCCACCTACTGCATATGCTGCTTAGACAAATGCTTAACTTCTTCTGTAGATACATGCTGGCCCTGCAGCACATTACAACCAACTTCCTCCTCTCCTCTCCTCTCCTCTCCTCTCCTCTCCTCTCCTCTGGATGAAGGGTGGCTGAAGTCTTTATGCTTGTGAGCCATCAAGTGGCTGCCAGCACTGTCCTGACAGTATTTATGATACTGCCTGACACCAATTTAAATAATCCAGAATTAAAAAGAGGAACAGCATTTATTTGTAGGCTCATGAGGAATTCCTTGAGCAACAGACTATTGGCTTCTTACTAGGGAACGCTAAGAAAAGGGTTTAGTTGGCAGTCTCTTACCAAAAATTCAGCCACATCCCACCTGTTTCTTTTTTTTTCCTCATTCCTGCTATATTACTACAGCATCCTGGTGCTTTTCTTCAGACATAGTGAAGGTTTTTATTCTAGAACATAACAAGAGATGTCCTGCTGGATTGGAGCCCAGCTCAGCTAGTCCAACAGCCTCACAGTGCCCAAGTTCATAGTGGTCGCCTGACAGAGGATCTTCAGAGTCAGTCACACTGACATCAAAGCCATTGGTCCCCATGACTTCCATCAATTGATCCAACCCTTTTCTGAACCTTGATCACTCTGTGTCTTACTCATATCTCAAAAGTGCCTCATGTTGCAATCTTTTATGCTTCAGACAATTGATCATCCTAATTGCCCTCTTTTGAATCTGCTTTACTTCCACTACAGGTAGTCCTCAATTTACAGCAGTTCAATTAGTGGCTGTTCAAAACTACAACAGAACTGAAAAAAGTGATCTATGGCTATTTTTCATGCTTATAACCATTGCAGCAACTCCATGGTTACCTGATCAAAATTCAGACGCTTGGCATCTGACTCATATTTATGACGGTTGTGGTGTCCCTGGGTCATGTGATTATCTTTTGTGACTTTCTAGCAGAGTCAATGAGGAAACCAGATTCACCTGACAACTGTGTTACTAACTTAACAACTACAATGATTCACTTAACAACTGTGGCAAGAAAGGTCGTAAAATGGGGCAATACTCAGTTAACAATTGTCTCACTTAGCAACAGAAATTTTGGGTTCTACTGCAGTCATAAGTTGAGGAGTACCTGTGTATTTATCAAACTTGTATGGCCCCCATCTCGTCAAAGGTGACTCTTTTTGGAAGTGTGGCAATCCAGAAGTTTACATAATATTCCAAGTATGGTCACACCATTGATTTATATGTGGGCATTATGATATTGATAAATCTATTTTCAATTCTATTTCTTATTATCTTTACACCACTTTACATTTGCTCATTATGAATGACATCTGCTTTCTGATGCCTGCTTCCTAATGTGCAGAGGTCCTTTTGACGCTCTTTGCCGTCCTTCATTATTATAACCCACTCTGAACAATTTTGTGTCATTAGCAAATTTGGCTATTTCACTACTCATGCCTAATTTCAGGTCATTTATAAATATGTCAACAGGCACTGATCTTAGGACAGAACTCTGAATGACTCCACTAGTTAACATCTCTCCATTTTGACATATGTCTATTTATTCCTATTCTTTATTTTTCTATTATTTAGCCAGTGGCTTCTTCAGAAGAGGATCATCCCCTTTTATTCCATAGGGAGACTGATTCTCTCTGACCTCTTTTCCTCTGATTCCTTGAACCATTCCATCTCCAATGCTAACTTCCACCATGGTGTATTAGTTCGTTCATCAGCCTTGCAAGAGTTTAGGAAGTTAGCACAGTGATTGGCATTAAAGTAGGGGATCCCCTGCTTCTTTTCTTGCTGCTGCGTTACAATCTGGAGTGATGGACTCAGGCCAAAAGCAATCCTTTCCGAGGCACACAACTCATCAACTCTTCTCAAGAGGACTTACTTAAAGTGAAAGGGATAGAACTACAAATAATTTCAGCAACCAGTAGAAAATATTTTCTTATTTCTTTTTAACAGGTTTTCCATAAAAGGCAAGAAGATGAGTCTAATAATTATTTGTAATAGGTGGAACATTCAGCATATGCACAAGCAACAACTGAATCCCCTTCATTTGGAGAAACCAATCTATTACTATTATTATTATTATTATTATTATTATTATTATTATTATTATTATTATTATTATTATCGATCATCACACA